TACGAAAACAAGATAATGTATAAGCGTAATAGTCAGAAAAACCTCAGTCCTAATAAGTAGGTCTGTAGTGTCGAAATCAGTGATCTATATAAGAGTAACGCAGGAGAAAGACAGAGCATACCGTATCCGATCCACTCAGTGTAAAAGTACTTATACGTAACGATGGACACTCTCCTGGCGACGTTATATCTGCTGGATTTCAGTTACATTCTGCTGGCATTAATCTTCACCACATTGTTCGCCTTACATTACTACGTCGAGTCCAGTCATGCCGTGCAACTTTCGCTGAAGTTACCACGTACGTAAGGGGCTTCAGCCCGACTAAGACTTCAATAAGAACCGAAAATCTCTATCGTGATATGTCCCACTTTATGCTTGAATCATACTCGTATGGTGTAAATGAATGTGCTAAAATTACTGTATATATTCTTCCAGATCCACCACGAGTCCCTATTATTGGTCATTTTTTTTTAACCCTACAATTTAATTCAAAAGATTTTCTAATTATGGTCAGGAAATATTTCGCTCAATACGGTCCGGTAATCTCATTTCATTTAGGAACACAAGTTTTTATCTACCTAACAGATGCGCAAGATATAGAGGTAATCTTAAGCAACCCTGAGCACATTACTAAATCCACGGACTACAAGTAAATAAATCCAAATCATTAATTGCGAAATAGGTAATTAAAATGTCGCGATAATAATAGAATAATGATCGAAAAGTAAGTTTGTATAGTTATGTTTCCATCATTTTTGATGCCATTTTGACATCGTCATGATTTTCATTTCGGTTCTGAGTTGGACCATTAATCAATAAGAACTTATTTAATTTCAATCATCTCATATTGAAAAGCACCAGTATAATTCCCGATTCTCTTCAACCTAAATTTATATTCATCATATAGATACCTTAAGCCGTGGCTTGGAGATAGTGTACTCTTCACTCACGGCACCAAATGGCTAAAACAGAGAAAAACGATATTAGACACATTTCGTATACAAATATTGAGGACATATGTACCTGTATTTTATGAGAACAGTCAGGATCTGGTGAGGCGACTTGGCGATGAAATCAACCAACAATTCGATTGCCATGATTACTTATCAGAGGTAGCTGTTAACATTATAGTGGAAACAGCAATGGGTGTTAGCAGAGAGAAGGTTAAACACATCGGATTTGACTATGCAATGGCCGTTAGGAAGTAAGCATTTCTGACGTTGTTATTTTGAAATAGTTTATTTAACACTTCATTACCTTATATTTAAATGTTACAGACTGGGCGAGATCGTGCACAAAAGGCATTTCAATCTGTTGTTACG